CCCCCCCCAGCCCCTTCTTGGGGCTCCTGCGGGCTCCCCAGCGTCAGGGTGGGTGGCCAAGCCCCAGCTGCAGCAGGAAACCTGGGGCCGGGCAGGGCTGAGCGATGCTCTGGGCCAGTCGAGAGAGGCAGAGGGGCCCCGGTGGGGGGAGGCAGAAGGGCACCCTCACCCCTGCACCCTGCGGTGCTCAGGGCCACGTCGTCCTCATGGGACACCTATGGCCACCGACACAGCCTCATCTCTCTTGGGGGTGGCTTCTTGAGTGGAGTATCCACGGGCAGAGCAGCTCGGGTACCTGCAGCTTGCGCGTGGGACAAAGGCTGGGTGCACGCAGTTTATTAGAGCTCTGGTTAAGCAAAAGAGTCCCCCCAGACAAAGGCAAGGAAAAGAAAAGAGGCCACAGTTTCACCTGGAGCAGTTTGGGGTCTTTCCCATGCCCACAGTAGCTGGATTGGTCCCAATGTCCCCACTGCGCAGCAGGTTTGCTCCGGAGTCGTGAACCGCACGCAAAGGGTTGGAAGGAACGGCATCGGTCCTTGTACACATCTATGGATTTGTACAACGTACGCGTCACTCGGCGAGGACGACTAAAACTGGCCACAGCGGAGCGGGAGGGTGGGCAGGCACCCACGACAGCGGGATGGGGTGGTGAAGTCACCAAAGATGGACGGGAAGCATGGTGTGCAATGTTGAACCAGACAGGTCCTCGGCAGCATCGCAGCCCCAGGCCCTGGGCAGCCAGAGCCAAGCCCAAAGCCACCTTTTTCCCCAATTTCTCACATGCCATTTTCTCCCCGATGCCATGCACCCACCCTGGCAGCACAAGCTCTGCTCAGTCTCTTTCTTCCTGGCTTTGCCTGAGCTCTGGATGCAACCAACGGCAGCTCTGGGTCCCTCCTGGCTGGACACTTCCCCGGTGAGCTGAGGGAAGCGCCTGGACACCCAGCACCCTGGATAGGACGTGGCTCTGGAGCACGGCAGGAGGGCTTGCCCAGGAGAAACAGCACATAAGCAGCGTCGCAGCCCCTTTGCCAGCCCACTGACCAGGCTGCAGGGAGCCCTGGAGCTGCCCTCCTCCTCCTCCTCCTCCCCATCCTGAGGAATACACAACCAGGTGGCCACGGGGCTGACGCTGCAGCCGTTCCTGGTCCATCTCCACCTCGATGCCCAGCTCGGCCCGATCCTGGCGATAAGCTGAGCGTGTCTCGGCCACCTCAGGTGGTTTTCATCTTGAGCACTTTGGAAAGTGGCTCCTTGGCACTGGAGTAGAGGAGGTAGGAGCCCTCGGCGGTGTGAAATGCCTCCCAGTCTCTACAGCCGACAGTGGGGAGGTGGTGAGCCGCTACGAAGCCTTCATAGCCTTGCCACCTGCACGGGGAGGGCAGTTAGCTCTTGGGGCACAAGCTGGGCACCTGAAAGGGGGCAGGAAAACCGAGACGTGGGGCTGGCATCTCCCACCTCCCCGCTGTGGTTCAGGGTGGCATGTCCCTCACTGGGGCTTCTCATTCCTGCCCAGAAACCTGCCCAGAAACAGGGAGCGGTCCTGTCTGTCCTCCTGGGGCAGAGGCACCAGCATCCGCAGAGGGTTGCCCCCACGCTGGGCTCCTGGCAGGGT